CACAGTGGTCGTCACAGTGGTCGTCACAGTGGTCGCCACAGTGGTCGCCACAGTGGTCGCCACAGTGATCGTCACAGTGATCATCACAGTGGTCGCCACAGTGGTCATCACAGTGGTCACCACAGTGGTCGTCACAGTGATCGTCACAGTGGTCATCACAGTGGTCGCCACAGTGGTCGTCACAGTGATCATCACAGTGGTCGCCACAGTGGTCGCCACAGTGGTCGCCACAGTGGTCACCACAGTGGTCGTCACTGTGATCGTCACAGTGATTATCACAGTGGTCACCACAGTGGTCACCACAGTGGTCGTCACAGTGATCGTCACAGTGGTCATCACAGTGGTCGCCACAGTGGTCGTCACAGTGATCGTCACAGCGGTCATCACAGCGGTCGCCACAGTGGTCGTCACCGTGGTCGCCACAGTGGTCGTCACAGTGGTCGCCACAGTGGTCGCCACAGTGGTCGTCACAGTGATCGTCACAGTGATCATCACAGTGGTCGCCACAGTGGTGGTGACAGTGGTGGTGATAGTGGTCGTGACAGTGGTCGCCACAGTGGTCGTGACAGTGGTGGTGACAGTGATCATCACAGTGGTCGCCACAGTGGTCGTGACAGTGGTCACCACAGTGGTCGCCACAGTGGTCGTCACAGTGATCGTCACAGTGATCATCACAGTGGTCGCCACAGTGGTCGTCACAGTGGTCGTGACAGTGGTCACCACAGTGGTCGCCACAGTGGTCGTCACAGTGATCGTCACAGTGGTCAGCACAGTGGTCAAAATTTTGTGCCTAGTGAGACCGCAACAAATTTTTTTCCCCCCGGTGATAATGAACAGATCGTTTCCTCAACAAAAAAGGAAATGTTTTTCAAAGTTTATTTCGAGCGTTAGATGTCATATTCATTATGATGCTGAAAAACCGAAATTTTTTTCATTAAAATGATAACTTTTGGGTTTTACTTAGTTGTTCCTTATATGGATTTTATAGAGCAGGATTTGTCACAAGATTGGCCAGTAAGCGATGATGTAGATTTGGATGACATGGAATATCATGAAGGTAATTGCTAAAGAAACAACTTGAAGTCAACTTGGACATTTATTTACTTGCATGTGAAAAGCCTGCATGTGTGATTACTCATAGGAAATTAACCACTTTGGATTATCTTTGGTGTTTCATCATGGAACAATGTTTGAGGGCTGCAGAATTTGTTGGGAGTGGGGTTAGGCAATGGCAGGTAGATTGAATGCGTCAAGATACTATTACAGTGATGTTTTCTTTCTAAATATTATTAGTACCCTATTCTGTACACAGTACATGTCATTAAGTTAAATCAATAAATGCATCTAACTTATAGTCACGACACGAAGCATGCTATGCACCAGCCAAGTGAAAATTATTGAACTTTGTTTCAGATACAGAGAGTTATTCAAGTTTGTGTCGCTGCAGTGGAAAGTATGTGTTAAGTGAGGAAGATTTGGAAAATGGACACAACATTGTGTGTTGTTCAAACTGCACCTTGTGTATCAGAGTATTATACAATGTGGTTTCAGATGATGCTAGTAATGACCTGTGACAGAGCAAGGAAATAATTTCTGGAGACAATTTCTTCTTGTGGTAGAAAACTAGGGGCCAATAATTAACTTTCTTGGAAACTGAGGAGAAAATTGAAATCAATGAAATGTGAAGATCACTTTCAAGAGGGTGTTGAGAACACAGAGTCCTGTGTTACAATCCTGAAGCTTGTTTGTTACATGTAGCTCTCAACATAGTAAAGATAATACTGTTATCTTTTGTTGCCCACTCAGTTTGAAGAACAAACTACCCTGCTGAACGAAGTACAATTCATAGCACTCTGTGATTATGTTTGGTGGCCTTCCTAGCAAATAGGAAAGTGAGTTTAGATAGGATACATGTATTAGTCAGGGAGGGGATAGAATGAAAAATACCACACAAGGACCCAACATGAGTTTATACCCTTTTGAAGGCTTTTACTCCATATTGACACCTTGTTTAGGATACTTCAAGTAACATTGAAACCCTGTTTTAAAACTGAGTTTGGATAAAACTGATTCTCTAGGGTACAAAAATGGAACTAGAAAAATACTTGCATTTTGTAACACAATATTTGTAAACAAATGAAAAACTAAAATGATGAACAAGCAAAATTTAATTGGTTGCCTTAATACCAAGTCACAGCTCCTGCTGTATTTCACATTTTGCTGAATAGCAATAAATAAAATACATCACAATTCAACAATACTGCTTGTCTTCAACACATGTTTCTTGGGAGTGTTCTGTTTTTGCAACTATTAGTCAGGTACTTAATAATTGACCCTTTGCTTAATTCACTGTACTGGTTGCTTCAGTCATGTCCCAACATGCAATGTTCAATAATTTTCACTTTGGTCCTAACATGTCTTCTGGTCTCACCCACTGAGCAAACTGTTCTTCTGTTAACAATCCCAGGCTTATAGCAGCTTCTTTCAATGTTGTGCCTTCTTTGTGAGCTTTCTTTGCAATCTTAGCAGCATTGTCATAGCCAATATGAGGGTTTAATGCTGTCACCAACATGAGTGACTCATCACGCAACTGATTGATTCTATCCACAT